AAAATGTAACACACTATGCAGACTGATTGTAATACAGATACTGGGACTACACCAAACCCGGTTCACAGTTGGCTTGACTGAAAATTCCTCAAAATCGGTAGAAAACTTCCCTTGACTTTGAAGGACTCTGGTCAGGTCCATATAAGGCATAAGAGCCCCTAAGGATTTATCTGTACCTATAGTTACGTGTTTGTTTATGCAAATATCAAGTGTTTCCTGAGTCATGTGAACGTTCGCATGGTAAAGCTCACCTGCTTTTTTGGAGCTTCTAATGTTTGATTTAATTATTCCAACTTGCTGCATAGAAGGGAGAGTGGATGAGAAAGGATGGGGGCTAGGAAAAAGGAGAAATGATGGAGACAAGATAGAGAAGTCAGAGTAGAAGTCAAGAAGCAAAATCAAAAGGAAGAGAATCAAAAGACAGTGGGAGGAGAGTGAGGGAGATGACAAAGAGCACATCCTGGAGATGGCCCAATATAACCTTGATTTACCTATTGTTAAACTGCAAATGGAAGAAACAAAAGTGGAAATATAGAACGCTTAGAGCGGAGATGGCAGCTCGTGCTCTGATGCACTGGTTTCCAGGCTCCTGTTGTGCGGTGCGTGCTGGGAGGGCTGACCAGGGAGAGACTGAAACCACCTACAGAGAAAACGTGTCTCCCCTCAGTTCCCCTGTACTTCCCCCACCCCTCAGGCCTCTGCACAGCTGTTTGCAGCTCCGTTAGTCACCGGTGCATTCAGTATGTCTGTGCTGAAATGCTTGGACATACAGTGGCAGCTGCTGTGGGCAGGTTTCCTGCCCCATCTCCACCGCGACGGAGTAACTAATGGGGTACAGGGATGTGAAAGCCGTGAATGGGAACCACTCCTGTGATTTCCTGCCTGTGCTCTGCTGGGAGCCGCCGGAGTCAGGCAGGGAGTGAGTCTTTTGGGATGGTGCTAGAAACAAGAAAGCTGATGGGGCCACATGGTCTGCCAGAGGAGAAACCTTGGTGCAAAGAGTTTCTTATGGCCTACTTGAGCAATTCTGGCTGTTAAGATTTTTGCCTGTGTTGGATCAGTGAGTTGTTTAGGGATCTGGGGCAAACCAGTAAAACAGGCTGATGAATCCATGCAGTAGGTGCCAATCTGGGTTGCTGCCTTTTTCAGAAGTAAACAACTAAGAGCCGTTGTTCATCTTCCTAACTCTCTGCAGGACACAGACTGTAAATTACATCTAGGAACAAAAGGTTGATGGAAGTAGAACCGGGTGCCCAACTTCCCAAGGGAGTGCTTTGCCCTCCAGACAAAAGAGTAGCTTTTCTGGCTTAAACCAGCACAGGCTCTTCTGCCTTCCCACCAGCACTCAGAGCTGTGTGCAGTACAGGATTTTCTACACTGAAGCATTTACAACTGTTTCCATTACAAAACCGAGTTCCAGGGTTGATCATGGAAATTAAATTTGGTCTGAAATGCAGGAAACAAGATTGCAGTCTAGGGACATAGGAGGTAATCTTATTAAAAATACTATATCTTATTGAGATTACAGTTAAATGGGTATAAAACCCTCCCACCTTCCCGGAAACTGACTTTCAGCCAGTCTTACAGACCAGCTGTAGTCTATGCAAAATGTGTACTGCCACGACCAGAATTACCTAATGAGATTTGTGCTTTTTCTTTCACCAAGACTATGTTCTTCAACTCCTCATAAAAATCTTGAAAATTACACCAAAATATGTTCAGGAAAGTATTTTTTTAAATAAAAAAAAAAAAAAAAAAGAGTCTTTCTGCTGATCACAGGAAAAAAAGTTTTTCAAATTAGGAAATTAGACAGCTTCCTTTTTGGAAGTTTATGATTTTTACTATAGAAATGCTAGCTATTTTGACAGAAAAAAAAATCCATTTTTTCCCCTTTTCAATTGTTCCCATTAGACAGTGAAACCAATCATCATTTGTGTCATTCTTCTCATTGAACATTCAGGTACATTTACTTTCTGGTCCAAATAAATATATATTATAGAGAGAGGCTGCCCCACTGAATTCAATGGAATTTTGGCCTTTGACTTCAGCTAGGTCAGAATTTCAACGTCTATGGAGATTCCTTCAAAAACATCTCCTTATATTGCTGGAGGCCTGTTCTTTTCTAGGGTTCCTACACATATGCACCCTAATAGGATTTTTATCGAAATTAATTGGTGCTGGCTACAGTTCATGTATGTGATAAAATCTTTCTGTGCTATATTGCACCATAGATTCAATATCCACTGTGTCGAAGGCTTCACAGAAAAATACTTTTTAAATGCTGGGATTTTATCCTTTTTCAGCTGTATTGTTTCATTCTCTTTTGAATACTTAATTTATGTGGTACCATTTATTATTTTACAAATTTTTAGTGCCAGTAATTTAACTGCTTATTACCAAATGAATAAGCAAATTCCAAAAGCTCAGACATTTAACTATGTGATTTGTGTTTTTAACAACAATGTTATAGGAACAAATCTCCAATGGAAATAAACTGATAGCGTCATTTTAAAGTGATGCTCTGCTACATTTCCTCAGCTAAAGATTTGCTTTAGGATTTTTCTGTTCCTATGTATTAAGATTATTCTGAGCTAAAGGAAAAGTTCTGTGTTTCTCACAAAGAAACCCCCCCAAACCAAAAAAACCTTTCCCTGGAGCTGTACATCTCCTATGTCTAAATTTTCTGGATAGCATCAGGCCCTGCACCGAGGCTAAGTTTGGACTGCTGTCTACCCCAGGCCAACATATTTTAGTGGAAAAATTCCTTTTTTGGGTGGGAAAGAAGAAGATATTTGTGTATCTTTTATTTATTTATTTATTTGTTTGTTAATGGCAGCTCTTTGAAGTGCTTGGTGTGCTGAAATGCAAGTGTGTGTCCTAGGCTGACATGTAAGCAAACGGATGGGATGTGAAATGGACAAACTTACATGTTATATACATAGTTATGAATTAGTCTGTGGTTTATCACATGAAATTACATACTCTGATAAATTATTTTTATTGTATGCATCTTATGTCTTTTCCCTTTGCATTAGGTACTAGTACATCTGTACACCTGGTCTAAACAGGTTCTAATCTTAGCCCAATTCTATAGGGCAAGAAAGAGACTTTCCAAAGTGGAATGCCATCCACCCCTGCCAAACACACACAGAAGCACTGAGAAGTCTAAGATGCAAATCAAATAATATTCAGTATTGAGAAAACAACCTGTTTATAACCTGATGTCAGAAGGGCTAGAATTAGAAACTTCAGGCCATGAAGAGACTAGGCATTTCCTCTCCTGGTAAAATACAACTTTTGCTCCCGCAACACTTGCCCATTTCCATGGAATGAACATTATTCTCTATTTACCTGTGCCAAAGAAAACTTATTTTCATTTTTTCATTCCATATAATTGTGAATACAAGATGTTAACAGAGGTACTTTATGTTCAGCAGAAAAATAAGACTTAAAGATACGTAAATTTCAATCCATGATTCCATTCTTTTGTTTAATCCATAGGGGTGAATTTTAAAAGTCATTTAGCAACTGAAGATATGCTTTGTAAACTTTCAACATCATTAACTGTGCACCAGCATTTTAAATCCCACTAAACATCATTCATATTATATCAATGCCAAAGTACGTATAGCTATAAATGTACAGGAATTCACAGAACTATTTCTTTTCCACTACTCTAATCAGTAAGGTGTTTAAGAGATTGTTTTTTCCTTGCTTTTAAAGCCATTTGTTTCAAAAGAAAAAGCAACATATTCCCTGGATAAAACATATTTTACCTGTAACTTCAAACTTGCTAGCTTCTTAATAAAAAAATCCCCTCTGGTTTAAGGAAAGATTTTTCACCTTGTCCCATCAGATATTCTAGACCTGTTGGAAAAGCCTGTTGGAACCTGTTGCTAAAAATTTGGCTGCTTGAGGAAAGGATAGTCAGCTAAGTCAAAAGTCAAAGAAAAGGCAAAGTCCTGAAAACCTCTTTGTGTAATGTTCTTGTACCTGTGGCTGGAAAGACCTGTTTGTATTTTTCCATTGTGTTAACAGAGATTAAAAATTAATGAGAAAATTCTTTCAAGTGGGAGGATGGACAAAATGGTAATCTGATATAGAACTATTCATTTCAAATTTGCCGAGTGAAACTGCAATTGGAGCGTTAGCGGATGTCAGTCATTGCCACGTGTTGGTTGTTGGAGGTGAGATGTGCTGGCTTTGGTGATTCCTGACCAACCCCTTGTTCCACCGCACACAAACCACTGTTGCACCCCTGAAGCTCTGAAGGGAGGCCGGTGCATGGAGGCACCACGAGAAATTGTTAAGGCACACAGGCTTGCCTTTCGCCTATCTACAGAGGCTTTGATGTTTTCACCAGGAATTTCATGTGGCATCTAGAGAATAGGAGGAATAACTCCTTCTATACCTCATACCATGAATACAATAAAATACCAGCCTTAGTCCTCAGTATCACTGCAATGGCATCAGTGCCCATCTCTGTTGGAGCACCCTGTGCAGAGGAGCCAAGGGTATCCCAGGCCGTGGGAGACAGAGCCACTGCAACTTACCTTCTGCATGAGGTTATCTTCCAGGGATGAACAGAAACATTTTAGAAATTTTCATTGCAGAGCAGGCATTTTGCTTCTCTAAATTGAACGGCAAAAAGAGAAACTGGTGAGATGGGTCAAAGCAAGCAAAATATTTTGGGGAAACTTCCAGGCAGTTGTAGATGCTTTGCTGGGGTTCAGAAACTCTAGCACTTCATGAGAATAAAGCAATAATGAGATTTGAAATTCAGGAGGAGAAGCTTATAACAAACAGTGCCGTTCTGAGCTAACTCACAAATTTTCCTGCGAGTGCAGTGAGTACAACTTTCGACCCTACTTGTGTAAGAAGAGGAGGTTTAGCGCCGCTTTAGCACCGGAGCCCGTCCTGCTCCCCCCGCGCTGGGGCACAGAGCCGCCGTGGGTGTGACTGCTGCCGGAGCTCCCCCTCCCAGCTATGTCATTACTTCAGTTCCTTTGAATCAGAATAAAAAGTGCAGCAAACTTCAGGCTCATTGACTACGGGCTTCACGAGCGTCGGGGCTTTTCTTCTCTCCGCAGCTGGAAAGGATCTCTGGTTTTTGCGAAACAGTTCTGGGAAAACAATGACCAGCCTGTGGGCAGCTGTTGGATTATGTTTGCTGAAGCTTTGTCTGGCAGAAACACGTAAGTTTTTTTTATGAATGAAAACACTTACGGTTGCTGATAAGTTTATGCTTCAGACAGCAAGTGTTCTTCTGCTCCGTAGCTAACAGCTTTATTGCTTTATTATTTGTGAGAGTTATCAAAGAGGCTTTAGGGCTGTAATGCCTGCTGTGCTGGTTCGTACAGTCACGGAAAGCTGTGTATTGCTTGTAAAGGGCAATTCCAGATCTATAAAAAGTGAATTGTCGATCATAAAAGTTAAGATTAAACTAAGAACAGAAGTACATTAGGGAATTTGGAACAGCTCTGGTAAAGCTTGGTTCGACAATGTGGCTGCTGTTAGAGACTCAGCTTGCTCTCCCAGCTCCCTTGCAGACATGAGAGAAAAGAGGGGGGGTTGGTGGGGGACACCCCCCCCCACACACACACACCCTGGCATACAGCAACTGCATTCCTGAGTTTACATGGGTTCACATGAGCTTACTAACAGCTAACAGACACCGCGTCTGGACACAGCCTCGCTGAACAGAAGCAAAACTGCAGTGACCTGTGACTGAAATTTGGAGAGCTTTTGTGCCAAGCATGCTGGTTTCTGACTTCCTAAGGTTTCTCTGGGGTTGACTGATGAGATTTTGGAACAAAGGGGGCTAGAAGTGACCCCAAAGTTATTTATCAATTAACTTGCCGTAGCTTGGTTATCTGCTTCACATACTTGTATTTTTAAAAGAAACGTTAATACAGAGAAAAAAAATAAAGATTGTATGTCCAGAATGACAAAGTGCTTTTGAAATGCCACAGGGTGCAGGCCCAACCCTGTTTGAGGGAAATGGCCATGCTTTTAATAGACTCTCACTGTGATAGAAGCTGCTTTAAAGTGTTTTGGTTGTTAGGGGTAAAATTTATGCTTCTACATTATTTTTCTGCTCACCAGTTCCAGGAGTCTAACAAAATACATTTTTTTATGGCCACTGTCACCCAAAGGCTGTGTGTGTGTTTATAGTAAATGTATATATATATATCATTTGTTCTCACAGCAGTGGATACTTCTGTAATGGTTGCAGCACTGCTGGGCTCTGAGTGGGTGTGTCAGAGTGAACAGTGCAGATGTGATAGTTGAAGCACCCTCATTGCTTTTCTATTTGTTGCACAAAACCACTCTTGCTAAAATCAGATCTATGGATAAAGCCCTTAGAGAAAGGCCGGGGGTACTGCCGGCAAATAAAGTATGCCAGAGATGTGTTTAAAACCTTGGCTTGGTCCAAGTCTGTATGCTGTATAAGAATTATAATTATTTGGTTGCCACCCACTCAACTGATTTCTTCTTTTATGAGCTTCCAGGAGCATCCTAATGAAGCAGGGTCTGCACTGACTCTAGGAGTAACATGTTTTCTACATAGCAGAAAACCCCATCATCTAGTCTTCAGCATAGTTACAAAAAGCATGCTGAACTTCCCATATGCCCCCCGGGGAAGTTTTTTTAGTGGCTTAGCAAGGTATTAGACTGTAGCTACAATGTATTTTAGTTGGTATGTGGTACATTCCAGCATGACTTTGTAGTCAGTAATGACTTCAAAAAAGCAGTTAATGGTGATTTTATTTTCTGTTTTAAGCCAGTGACTTTGCTGTGGATCATAGAGTAGTGGCCGTTGTTGTTGGGAAACACCTTGCTTGAGGACAAAATTCAGATCTGCTCCTGAACTGGAAGTTTAATTCTTTTAGTACAGAATTTAGCAAAATTAGAAAGGACCTGGAATTACCATTAATGTGAGTACTAAAGGAAAGTGAGATACAGAGAGCAGTTGAAAAACTTATTCATCCTGAGTTCTGTGCTGTTGTGATCATACTGTCACTGACATGTGAGTGAGCTGTACTTATGCTATTGATATGAATATTGTTGTCCGAGGAGTCTGGATCCAGGAGGATATAGATGTTGATGTCTCAGTTAATGATGATCCTGGGGGAGATTTTCCCCTGTGAGCATAATGTATATGTAAAAATATTTCTCTCAAAGTTTTCCTTGATTAAGACAAAGCGAATCCTGGAATTTTGACCCGCAAACTGGAAGAAGCTGGAATACAAGTAGTAGTAAAGAGGAAATGAAAACAGGGAGAATGAATCCAGCAGTGGGAGTGAGGAGCTTAGCTATTAGCACTGGAGAGGTTGCCAGAATCTCATTAGGAGGTAGGGCTCTGAGACAGGGCTACTACAGATACCAGTCATTCACAAAGGAAGGGATCTGCCTGCCTCGGCTTATATACCCATCATGTAAATTTGTAAATAAAGCAGTTTGAAGAAGCTCTTTGTGCTAGTTTATTTTCACTTAGTCCTTACAGTGTGTATCTTGGCTATTTCCCCAAAGCTGCAAAGTAACTAGACTTTATTAAAAGTTCACTTGAACTTCCACCATCATTTAATGGAAAGGTTATACACCTGCCCTTGAAATACTGTCATGCACAAAGCCACCAAACCATGGCAGAGGATTTTCTTGCAGTTTTTGGAGAAGTGTTTGTTGATTCTTTAGTTCCCAGTGTTCACCACAATGCAGAACCATTGCCTTGAAAACAGGAAGTCAGAGAAAGGCTTAATGAAGAAAGATAGTATCATACGATTGAGGAAGAACTTTTTAAACTAAATACTTTTAAAACCACTGGTAGCTCTAGCCAAGGTTAAATGAAATGTTCCTCTGTACCTGGTGGGTCTTTCTTCCCAGAACAGTTTCCATGACTTTTTTAGGCCAGGACTTGAAGACACTATTAATATTGCATTTATTCATCTAGCACCTGAACATGCATGAGGTTCTACGGTAGCAAGAATGTGCCAGCAGGATGAGGTGTCCTGAGATGCTGATAGACAGACATAAACATCAGAAAGACTCATGAGCTCATTACTGCTAAAATACTTGTAGAAAAGATGCGTTCTCAAGAATTTCATGAAGGGGTAAAAAATGTGCTTTCATTGATGGTCAACTGCCATTTCAAATGAAAGAACTTATGGAAGAGACCAGGAAAATATAGCGAGGAAAAATGTAGATCTCAAAGAGATGTTTGGTTTTATGGCAAGGAGCATGGTAGATTGCAGGAAGCAACTAAAAATAGTTATGAAACCTAATTGCATGAAGTCTTACAGATTTCAAGTTAGAGAATAAATCTGAAATTCTCACAGTATCCAAACAAGAACCTAGTGTAAACCTCTACAGATGTTTCCACTGATTTGGATAGCAACTGTCAGGAACAGGGGAAAATAAATGAGAAATGAAAAAAGATAGCAGCAGCGATCAAGTTAATGTATAATAGGAGTGGAGCCCATAGAACTCTGAAAAATTAGAAAAACTAAAAACTGCATTGCTGACATGGTGGAGGAAAGAGCTCTGGTGAGTCTCTGTGGGATATGGGTTAATTAAAAAGCAAAGGGCAAACAATGTAAGATGGCAATGTTCTTGCCAGAGAGGAGATGGTATTCAGAGGGAGTGACTAGACAGCAATAGTAATTAGGTTTGAAAACAGATTGCTAAGAGACATTGCTTTTAAGGACACATTAGATAAGGACAGACTAGATAAACAACCTTAAAGGACAGTTTGACTATTCATGATTGTGCTACAGGGTAAGAAGATGGAGTAGAAGACCTCTGATAACTCTGTTTCTTCTTTGATAAAAGGATAATTTTAGTTATGAATGTAGTGGACTGATAGTGAAATACATTGTAGAGAAGCAAAGAAAAAATGATGTAGAGCTTCTTATATATGGAGAGGATAGGTCAGACCAAGAACTTAATAGTTTTCTGGAATTCCAGAGATGCTGCTAAGAAGGCTTCTCCATTTGCTTTCTGGTCTTCTAGCCTTGCATTTCTGTTCCTGCATTGATGGATAAGTGTTTGAAAATGCAATCAAGATAGAAGCTGATAACTCTCAACTTCACATGACATGTATTCCATTACTTCCAAAACAGTAATGTTTATTTTAAAAGAGGACCCTATGTGAGAGAATGAGGGAAGGTGCTCTGCCGAACTCTCCTCTAAAATTGCTTTTTCCAGGACCAAGGCTAAACATACATAGTTACCTGTGAACTGTAACTTCACAGAGAAAGTACTCATGGAACAAACATGACCCACCACAGTAATTGTGCCTACTCTGAAAGCAACGTAGTATTGTACTGGAAGAATTCATGGTGTTCAAAACACATGATATTTTAGCATCTTTAGGTAACATGCTTTATCAAATTTCATTTTTCAGCACTAAATTGAATTCTTAGACTAGAGAATTTCTGTCGTGGTTTAACTCCCACCCTGCAGCCACGAGTTCAAACTTCAAAGTTCAACTCCTCCACCCACAAGTTCAAACTTTGAGTTGAAGGCCATCAAAGACAAGAGGTTGGGTTTGTCACCAACATGTCTTTGATAGCATACATCATGGTTGCTACCAGGTAGATCCCACATCCACAGTCTATTTTGTTCTTTGCCTTTACCTGTAAGGGTTTCTTTGTGATCTATCTGGTGGTTTGGACTGTTCTCCATGGGTTATTGACAACTGTAGGCATGAAGCCAGTTTGGTGTAACTCCTTGTCATTTTCCAGACTAGACCAGAAGTTCATCAGCACTTGTCTTTCACACTCAGGGAGGTAATAATTATTTCAAAGCCATCACACACTGTAATTATCAGTTACCATTATGGCTGCTGCTTATACTGGTGGCAGAGAGGACTGTGTCAGTTCTGAACGTTTATCAGTTTCCTCCCCACCAAAATGCCTCCGTACAGTGGCATCAGCAGTAATATCAGTAGCAGCTGGCTGTGATTTTCCTCCCTTTCGGTGGCTGCTGGAGCTGACCCCACCCAAGGGATGACAGAGCAGCTCATCATATGAATGAGTCTGCAGGCAGTAATGTGAAATGGCAACTGAGAGAAAAAGGGGTTTTCCTTGGAGAATCTTTTCAGTCAGATCAAAAGTTCAGCTAATCACAATTTAAAGTTCAAACTTCCGTGACTGTTTTCCTGCCTAACAAAACCTGCAGTAATTTTTGGAGTCTG